TAAAATGCAGTTGAGATTCAATGGTCAGTTTTGGTAGCATTTGCTGTGGCTTAATTTTAATTGTTCATTTTAAATTCCTTTAAAATTAAGGAGAGAAAATAGGTATTCAATTTAAGCTGTACCGGTACATCCACTCTTCAGAGTCAAGTATATCCAAGCTCTATGGTGAGCAGGGCACCTGACACCACACACATCCCTGTGCTGGAGATTTCTTTTTGAGAGGGGAAATGACCGCTAGGAGGAGCACAGAGAGTAGAAATGCTATCTGCAGCAGCACAATTGGGTGCCTTCAAATGCCCCAGCTGTAATAAAATATGTCTCACCCATATTGGTCTCTGCAGCCACAGCAAGCGCTGCAACTTTCCAACAGCTTGACCTCACCCTCAAAGGCGCATTCCTCCGTTATCTCCCAAGACAGACGGATGCCAATCATCTCCCAAGCAGCAGGAGAGACTCCTACATTTTCTTATCTTCTTCATATCTGACCCAAATCAGACACGACTCTGCCCCTCTCCCAAGCAGTTCATACATTCCAGAAGAGGGACAAGATAAGGGAGGCAAGGGATGTCATTTGCAAATAATGGCTGGTTAGCTATTCAACCTGGAAGTGTCACATAGCTTTAATTGGGTCATATGCATGAGAAAGTGTTTATAGGGACCCAAATGGGTCCAAAATCTGACTGTTGTTTGTTTGTACTCTCCCAGGCTTGAGCTCTTGGCTTTTTTGAGCAGGAGAGCTGGGGACATATAGTGGCTGATATTTAGTTCATATTTACCTGGCTCACAATATTATTTCCTCGCTGCTGATGCTTGGCTGCATAACAGATGGAGTGTCATGCTCCCAGTGAAGTCCATTTCCAGTTCAGAAACTAAACTAATTTTCTGGTTATGATTAGATCAGCAAGGAACTTTGGGGCATGCAATTTCCGAAGTATCTGATGCTCATCATGAGTACTACAAGTATATGTGTACTCATGTGTTGGCTTTGCCAAGCCAAATTCTTTACCAAGATAACGAGAGTCTGAGCTATGCACTAGGATGCCCCCTGTTCAAACCTTGCTTCAGCCACAACTCACAAAGTTGAGTTTCACAAACCTGACAATTCTAATACGAAGTTACTTTACCGGGTTGTTGAAAGGATTACTGAGAGAAAATATATGGAGTGATATGTAAATGCTAAATAGGCTTTTGAGTTCTAAGACAAGGACTCCAGAAAATGAATGAAAAAGATGGAATACTGACTGGGGAGTTTGAAAGGACAAGAGGAACTTGAAGATTCAAAGCTACGAGTTCATGAACACTAAAAGAACTGCATGAAGGTCACCCCCAAGGGAAGACACCCAGTTAAGTAAGTATTAAGTGCAGGTTTAGACTGCTTGCATTCAGTTTGAAACAGTCTCTCCTCAGTCCGTGTGAATAAGGGAATTGTATCAATCTTCCCCACCCTTTATCAAGAATGTCTGCTGTTACAGAAACCTGGGCACCAACTTGCATGTTTGCACACTTAATCAAAAAAGCACTGCTATATCTTTTAGCAAGGCAGAACCCTGTCTTCAGAAGTATCTATCTGCTTAGCATTCTGGTTGTTGTTTTCATTCTGTCTCCTGTTTTACAAGAACAAGCAAGTCCTTAAATGCCCTAGAAATCAGAACAATCTCCCCTGGTATATGCTTAATAAAGTTTCAGTAAACATTTATTATATCAATGTCTCTGCTCTCTTACCACTCCCCATATAACTCTATTAACTGTATAGCTTAGAATTAGGAGACTTATTTCAAACTTGTGTTACTGGCACCTGCATATATATGGACTCCAGGAAGGAAAATCAGTAAATGTCTGATATCATTGTTTTTGTTACTAATAAGTTAACATTTCAAAAACAAAAGAAGAGAGAATGAAACTTAATGATACTTTACCCAAAAAAAGTGGGGGGAGGCAGGGCTTTTCTAAATATTGTAAGAGATTGTTTATTGGGAAATAAATCATATAGCCTAATATTTTAATTATTTGAAACATCTCATAGAAAGACATACAAGAGCAGTGAAATGACCCAGATATTTAAGAAAAAATTAAAAATGTGTGATACTAACAGAATTCATCAAATGAAACCTCCTTGGGCATTATTAGCTTTCCATCAGGTTATGTGGTTGTCAGCAAACAGCAGACCTTTTGTGAAAAATGTTATTTATGTGCAAAGACAGGGGCATAATGTAGACAGGGTAGGCAAATAACTTTAGAAGGAAATGTTTTGGAGAACAATAACCCATTACCACTCTATTCCTGTGGCGGTTATCTGTTTTAACTGAATTTTAAATTGTTGTAACCCTCCCTAGGACCTGCTGCTGAAGGACGAGTAGTGGTACTACTACTAGTAGCAGTAATTTGCACAGAAGATGGAACTATTGAGGAAATAACTTAAACCAGAAAATATATTTATTCCATGTGTTTCATCACAGGTTTTTCTGGTGTGTATGTTATACCATTTTCTCCACCTCACCCCAAAATGGAGCTGTATTGGAATAGGGCAGATGTCTGCGGCTTGCTCCCTCAGGTGATAATGTGTGAACAAGGCCTAGGGCTGCTTTCAAATGTCACATGCATTTCATGTCAAAGCACTGACATCACGTCACTGGGAAGTGTGGTAATTTTACAACCTAAGATCAACCCTGTTGAATCAGGCCAAAGACTGATCTTGCCTAGCATCCTGCACTCACAGGGGCCAACCAAATGCCTATACATAGGGTGCTCTCAAACAGGGCCTGAGTGCAACAACACGCCCTCCACTTGTATAGTTTTATTTTCAACCTATTTCCTAACAACTGAATAAATACATCCAATAACTCATGGAATTCACTTTTTTCACATAGCAATCAAGCTTCACACATTCAAATAGTATTATTTCATTCAAGATTAACACAGTTGCCATAAGTAGTTGTCCCATTCTAAGAACAGATGTTGCAGGTTCTATTGCAGTATACTTTAGGCTGTGCTTTCAGGGTGCCAATATTATTATTATTACCGGTATTAGCATTAGCATTAGTATTAATTAGATTTATATTCCACCCTTCATCAGAATATCTCAGGGTGGTTCACAAGATAAAAATACAAGATAAAAGCACAAATAGTTAAAACAGAAACAACAAAATAACACCCTGCTTCCCTCCCCTCTCCCCACAAACACATTTAAAAGGCTGTAGGTTACTTATCAGCCTAAGGCGTAGTTGAAGAGGAATGTTTTCAACTGGAGCCTAAAAATATATAATGAAGATCCAGGCGAGCCTCTCTGGGGAGTGCATGCCACAAAATGGAGCCACTACAGAGAAGGCCTGTTTTCATGTTGTCACCCTCGGGACCTCACATGGAGGAGGCACACAAAGAAGGGCCTTAGATATGGGGAGAGGCGGTACTTGGGGTATTGTAGCACTGAGCCATATAGGCTTCATAGGTCAAAACCAGCACTTTGAATTGGGCCTGGAAGCTAAATGGCAGCAAATGCATTCAGGCCAGAATCACTGTAATATGCTCAAACCGTCTTGCCCCAGAGTGAGCAACCTGATGACCAGTTCTTCACCACCTGAAGTTTCTGAACCATCTTCAGAAGCAGCCTACGTATAACACATCACAGTAATCCAGGCTACAGGTTACCAGAGCATAGACAACAGAAGTTAAGTTATCCCTGCCCAGATATGGGTGTAGCTGGGCCACCAGCCGAAACTGATGGAAGATATTCCGCACCACCAAGGCCACCTGAGCCTCAAGTGACAGCAAAGGATCCAAAAGTAGCACAAAGTTATGTACCCGCTCCTTCGTAGAGGTCGACACTGAAAAGTTTCCATGCCTCAAATATCCAAACAAATACATGGGTGGTGGAAAGAAATAGGCGGGAAGAGCCATGCAGAGGAGCAGGGCCAAAGGAGTGACCCCACAACCCCTTTCTACACATTTTACCCTTTTCTATATGTGAATAACATGGGGCTTAAATCTGAGGTCCAGGTGAGTTATGGAAATACAGTCTCAGGACAGCTACTCATGTAGACAAATCCAAATTGCATTGAAAGGTAAAAGATACAATGCCTGAAATAACCTTAAATTAATTTAGTTCTGACTTGAAACTAAATCAGTCCCATCTGACAAATTTCTGCCTTATCCTGTCTTGTCAAGATTGCCAAACTTTATAATCCCTTTTCCTCAACTTCACTTTGATTCAGTCTCTTATTTGGTTCCCAAGCCACAACCTCTGGACTAAGGGCAGGAAAAAATAGAACAGTAATGCACAGGATCAAAATTATATTCTTATTTGTACTCTCTCATAAACTCAGGGCCAGCATTTTTTCTGACAGATGACTTGTTTTCCCAGTCTTGGGAATACCCATCAGATTAATTGTTTGACAGAATTTTCCTGCCTTTTCTTTCTCAGAAGGTGTAGATTTTTCAAATGCCTGTTACACGCCACTATGGAATTTCCCATGAGTGGTAGTTAATTGTAGTTTGGTTTGCTGGCCTTTTGTTTGAGAGGTACATTTCCCCAAGAGCTGACTCAGTTGGAACAGAAAAATCACCACGGAGAGGCGACGTCTTGACAGTCAAAACAAATACACATTTTATCTTTAAGGAACTTTGGCATAAGTATAACCTTTGATATTATAGTAAGACCACACCCTTGCTTCAGTTAGGCATTTCCTGAATTTTTTTGTCATTAAAACACTCAGAATGAAATATTTGGGAAACTATTCACAAGTAGTGTGTTTATTTCTCAGAGGTGAGCGGATAGTTCTCACACATTTGCCATATTTTAATTTGCAAAGTGATAGGTGAGAGAGGAAGAAGCTGAATTTGTTTAACAGAGAGATCTATTAGCAAGCTGAATAATCTGAGAGCAAGTCTCTGTATTCAATATATATAAAATAGGTGTGTAAGTGATCTGCCTCAAAAGAATCATTAAGTTGTAGAGTTGGAATGGACCCCAAGGTACTCATCTTGTCCAACTCCCTGCTCACAGCTGTCCCTGGGTGGGCTTGAACCACCAACCTTCTGGTTAACAGCCAGATGCACTGTCCCACCGCACCACCATCAGAGTAGTTCTGAGGATGCTGAAAGAAATGTTAATGAAAATACAGGGTTATATAAGGTGGATGCTTAAGCCACAATACATTTGCTGGTCTGAAAGGTGTGATAACAGAACGGTCCTAACTTGAGGGAGCAGATTTGTCACCACATTTGAAGCCCTGTTAGCTTCTGCTGGCCAGGGTGGAAGATGCGGAGGGGGCACTTCTTTGGTGGTTGGGTGAGGGGTTGTTACAGGACACTGACATTTCTACCTCCTGGAATATGAGAAAATGATTATAGAATGCCTTTGCAAGCAAACAGTCCCGGAGTTATGTTGTAAAGGACCTTATTTTGGGATTAATTCATTGATACACTTTGATTGTAAATTAGATTATCTTCCCCATCATAGGCATTGCACAATTGTCACATAAGTGGATTATTAATGTCAAGGGGGGGAAATCTGAATCTAAACAAGTGGCTAAAATGCAGCCTGGCAATCTTGCAAAAATATACGTGCATGCATAATATGAAATGCACAACAGGGATTAGTGCTAATTTTACAAGGCTAACAAATGAAGTTCAATATCTCACTGTACTCAAAGAAGAGTCCTTATTGCTTTAAACCTGGAGAACATCCCTGCAGGATATCATCAGCACTGCTCAGCACCAACAACAATCTTTTCTGCCATTTATCCTCTAGGCAATGACTATTACACACTCTAAATGTGACACCCGTGGAGACTGCACCATCAGCCTCAGTCTGCTCTCAGCCAATCCCCACTTGCCTGCTTTCTTATTACAACCAGACCAAGGGCATGACACTGCCAGTTTCCCCCTCCGACTAAGGAGTCTCAGAACTCAGCAGGGAGGTGGATGGGGACAAATCTAGAATTAGCTGGCTCTGTCACTCAATGGCAATGGTGCCACCTATTTCAGCTCCTTGCAATAATAAATAATAATAATAATAAATTTTATTTATATCCCGCCCTCCCCAGCCAAAGCCAGGCTCAGGGCGGCTAACAACAAACAAATAATCAAACAATCAAATAATCCAACATTCTAAAACATTTCATTATAAAAAATAATTAAAATCAAATTAAATTAATGAATCAATCTGTTCCACCAGTTTCAGTGGACATCAGTCACTGCTATGGGACATTCTAACCCTATTCAGTGCAGACTTCAACCAACCAAGTATCACTTTGTAAGTGCATTGATGCCAAGGCCATCTTGGAAAGAAACCACTGATATTATTGTCCTTTGGGTAGGTATAATCTCTTTGCAGAAAGCAACATCTTCTGTTGAAGCACAGATCATTAAGAATCATATCAAGTTCATATGACCGGGCTCATATTTGTTTTGCTTAACTTGCTTGGTCCTGTTTTTTTGCATGTGATACAATATAACTCAGATGCAAATCTTGATTTGGTACAGAGGCAACAGAGCCTTCTTACCCCATCTGGAATGCAGCTTTTGGTATGATATACAGAGGGAGGTTGGCAATGGCAAGAGAGAAAAATTATGCATATGAACATATTTTCATGCAAAGCAATTTTTAGCACATTTAAATGCAGCGCCAAAGGGGGGCAATTCCAGATACTTGAACCAATCTGAGATGCCCAAGGATAACTATCCCTCTTGGCCCACCAATTAAAAAGGATGCAGTTATTCATAAACACACACGAAATATAGAAAAAAGGGGGGGAGGAAGTAGAAGATGCAATATGGTCCACCAGAAAATATCAGATTTATTTGTGAAAGTTATTCATAGCCTTTGCTACGTTAGGCACGGCAGATGTACGAGTGTTATGTTTGTTTATTTGCAATGGGAGTCCTGAGCTCAACAACACGGAATCTATTTTTGATACATAAAGTGAAAAGTTAAGGGTGTTGCTTCTTTCTTATTTTTTTAATGCTCCTGGTGAAGATGAAACAGGGAGCTGTCTCCATCTTCAGTGCCCCTCAATTGCTGCAGTATAATAATAAACACAGGTTGTGCCCTCAGCTGCAAGAATTCAAAAGTGGCAAGAAAGAATGTTATTATCTAATAATTTATCAAAATGTGTGCAGGGCACTAAAGATATACACCTAAGACATTCTGGTGAGCTTAATTTTTTTTCAAGCACCATAGATTCTGAAAAATTAAAGCTGAAGTTGCCACACCGATGCTAATGAATGTAATCAAATGGTAGACATCACTGCAATTTTTTTTACAAAGAACAAAATGTAACATTCTCAACTTTCGGTTCTTAGAATGGAAGCTTTAAAGGGAAGCTGACACACTTTCAAATTATTGGATATTTTCATCACATGTGAGTATAAAATTTGGACAGTAAAGCCACAGAAGAAATACCTTCAGTTATGGAACAAATGGAAAATAAAACAGATGTAAATGTTTGCAAATGTTGTTTAAATTTCAAAGAAGGCCACAGACAGAACCAAGAGGACCATGGAGAGAACTATAGCAACGCTGTGGAGCTTTTGAACATATTCATTACAAAAGTAGCCTCCCTCTTCCAACCACACTATCCAATTAAACTCAAAACTCTGGACAAATGGGGGGGGGGGAGACAATGTGATTACTAAAGTTGCAATCCTACACACGTTTACCTGGAAGTCGTATGCACATTTCTTTTAAATAGACATGTGTAGGATTGTGTTGTAAATTGTATTGCACCACTGCTGCTTTTTGAAGGAAGTGGTTTGTATAGCAGATGAAAACATTCAGTCATCTTGAGATGTCTTTTCATATAAGCATAAAAGCGAAAAATCTACTTCATGAAATTTCTGCATCCATGTTCCATTTTTACACATCATCATCAGATCTGCAATTCTATGGCATTTCCAGAAGGTTTTTTAAAACTCAGAATAAAACTTTAAGGATGTATATGTATTTTTTAAATGATAATGATTAATACATGTGAAGAGACACATGTCACGGTGATAGTATTCTTCCACATCAATTAACTAGGCAATTTTAAAAAAAACTAAAGGAAGCTAGTGTTTCCAGTATGAAGGTAAGAAAAAGTGAATGAACTCAAATACTACATAGTTCCAAAAGTATGCCCTCTAAAATTATAAGGAAGTAAAGCTGTATTTGAAGTACGTGTTTTAGGTGTATTTCCTACAAAATGTTTTCATGCATGCTGTAAAAGTGATCTGCTATCCTATCATGGACATTTGTGTAGATATTACACACACACACACACACACACACACACACATATATATATTCACATCACATTCACAGAATGTGGACATTGCCTGACTCCTAGATTGAGACTGACTTATTGATGAAATCTCAACATAAAGTATCTCCCAATTTCCAGTCTATTCTTGCTTGTCTCTTCCTGTTAACTGCTTGTTTGCATTTTATGATAATGATGTGCACCTGTACCAGTTAAAGTCTTTGTATGCTTAATTGACATTGCTTGTTGCTGGCACTATGCATGCTACCAAGATGCACTTGAACTAATTAATTAACAAAATAAACCAACCAAGCAGATAGTTCGTGAGAAGTTAAGAATAGGACTGGGATAAATTGTGTTCGCTGAGCCCGTATTTTATACAGTCTGTATATGATGTTTGTTTGTTAGTGTGTGGTGTGCTATGCCTAATAAAGGATTTAAATTGGAAATTGGATAGTTCGTGAGAACTACAGCTGTTTGACTGAATGTTTTAGTGGGGGAACTGGGGTTGCGTCTAGTAGCCTCCAGTGGCCACATATTTGGCATTTAAGGAAAAGGGAGCATACATATATAGCAAAGCTCTTCCACACAGGCAAGAACCCTGAACAACCAGGATTCAACTTTGCACAAAATGGTGCTATGTATGCATCTCTACATTGAAAGACCCCCTTTCCTACTAATGTTGAATGGGCAACTGCCAGGGGTACGTCCAGCAGGTCTGTTGGTGCTTTAGTTAGCAGGCCTGTTCCTCACTGGACATAGTCATTGAATGTGTGCAGGGATTACTGGAACAGCCCTCCACCTGTCCCTGTCTCTGCCTCTGGTTGTCACTGACCTCCCTGCTTCCCATCCTACGAGTCCCAATGAGCACCAGCCACCATTGTCTGTCTGCTTAGGCTTCCAAAGTTACCCTTGGCTTTTTTGGGGAAAGCCATGCATATGACTGACTGCATGCCATGTGCTAGTTTGAGCTTGAGCTATGATCCAGTTTCAGAATTTTCCTCTACCATTAACTCATTCAAGCGATCGACAATACAGCTTAATTTACAGGGTTGCTATAAGGACTACTGTATCAAGCTATCTGAACAATTAACTTACCATCTTATATATATTTACTCAGAAGTAAGACCCACAGGTTGATGAGACTTATTCCTAAGTATGTGAATATAGGATTGCAACCTTAAAGTGGTGTATGCAACATATAATTATTGTACCAGACTCATGTGGCACCTCATAAGGAATACAAAATGTACTTCTAAGTAACTTCCAGCTTCCTCCTTTAGTGGATTCTCTCTCTGGTGAGTGAGAAAAACAGGTAACTAACTGTTTCTTAGTATAGGTAAAGGTAAAGGGACCCCTGACCATTAGGTCCAGTCGTGACCGACTCTGGGGTTGGAGCGCTCATCTCGCTTTATAGGCTGAGGGAGCCGGCTTGCAGCTTCCGGGTCATGTGAGCAGCATGACAAAGCCGCTTCTGGCGAACCAGAGCAGCGCACGGAAACACCGTTTACATTCCCGCCGGAGCAGTTCCTATTTATCTACTTGTACTTTGACGTGCTTTTGAACTGCTACATTGGCAGGAGCAGGGACTGAGCAACGGGAGCTCACCCCATCGCAGGGATTCGAACCGCCGACCTTCTGATCGGCAAGTCCTAGGCTCTGTGGTTTAACCCACAGCGCCACCCGTGTCCCTTGTTTCTTAGTATAGGACGACATAAAATGAGTTAAATACCAGATAAATGGAACCTGCATCACTTTGGCAGTGCTCTAGAACTCAGTAGCTATTACTTTAGGCAATAGAGAAAGCCTATTATGTAAAGGTATCCCAAGAGATATTCTTTTGCAGCAAGCAGGTTCTAGCTACAACTTCTTGAGTTACTTATCCTAATGGCACCCATTATCACATCAGAAACACTGCCACCATGGATCACCCCAGGTGTGCAGGAACCTGGGGTTTTTAACATATACACATGCTTTCTGAAGCATCTGTAGGATACAACCTGTACAGAGCTTGTTATAGTCACCACATTTCTCTGAAGCTTTAAGGAAATGTGAATTTCACAGGAATGTTTTTTCCTCAGCATGATTTTTTCCTGTGTAAAAAGACCCCACTCACAGTAGAAAACTATGAATGCTTTCCACAATCTGGCAAACATTTCTGCACAAGCATGAGGTGCTGCCTTTCTAAAAGAGGACAGCCAACGCTCTCTTCAAGCAGCCAACACCAAAATATCTGCCTCACTTGCTAAAGAGAAACAGAAAAATTGAGTAAAGTGGCTTAGCCAAGTCCCCCCCCCTCCCTCCCAGGATATGTAGTGGTTGAACAGCAAAATGCCAGAACCAAGCATGTAAACAAGTCAGATTTGATTATCTATGAGTGAGTTCCTGTAGAATTCATTTTATTTTGCTCCTTGATTTGCATGACTGATAAATTAAGGAATTGTGCCATGTTTTGGTATGTGAAAGTGCAAATATGTATATGATTCCTTCATCTCTATGGAACTGGCATACAGTTATAAAACAACACCTCTTCTTAAAGGGCATTTCTCCTTAAGTGTTGTCACTTAGTGGTATGGCTTATTGGAATGCCCACAGCTTCTTCCCATGGCACATCCAACCAACATGTCACCCTTTCAAGTTCCTTTTGTTTCTCTTTAAAATTAAAATAGACAATTCATCAGGGATGGGGATTCTATCAGATTTGTTTACTTCAAAAGCTCTTGTTTGAATTTATATTTTAAATGTAATTTTGGGAATGTTTAAAAGTAAAAAATATCTGGTACACTGCAATTTGTATTTAGACATCTTGGACACTCTGAATTATGTGATTCATATGAGGCAAGCTGCCCTACATTCTCAACAGGGCTGACTCACGAGCAAGAATGCTACAGATCACAATCCTAGCCTTTTCACATGCTGAACTGTAAACATGTGAATATTAACGCTTTAAACACGGAAGCTCTAAGTTAGTTCAGAGCTTTGTTATCTTGAATTTTGTGTGTGGGTTGCTATCTATCAGCCTGAATTTTATATGTGAAAAATAGATTAGTGATCAGTTGGTCTGCAGAACTGTATAAAGTGTACATCTAAGTAAACATAACACCGTTTATAAACAAAAGGAAGTGATTGCCGCACATCACACTAGTCAGACAAGCCAAGAGATGCATTTAATCTGCAGTTTGACTTATAACACTGATCCAGAAATTCATGGAGGCCCTGTGTGAATGGACCCCTTTTCCCTCCATTGGATAGAGCTCCTCCATACATGCATCCCCTTGGCCACTCAGCACTGCCTTCACCCTTACGGTAAACAGAGAAGCCCTTGCAGGTTAAAGAGGCTGCAAAGAACCGGTGGATCAGACAACAGAGTTTTAATGATACGACATGCAAAACAGTACTGTATTTGTAACCCAAATTGCATTGCCATTAAAATAAGTTTTACTAATTACATCTGAAGCTGCATTTGATATTTATTTCACTTTCCATAGCCGCAGGTTATTCTAAAATATAAAACTACTACACCACTTTACAAAACCTCAACAATAGTCACCCTCTCTATTAAATCAGACATTACCTCATTAAACAACCAGCTTGAGAAGGTGTTAATGTTACTAACTATTTCAAACAGGGCAAGTTGGCAGCTGCTTATTCCCTTATACATTTCAAAAACAGCTTCAAACTCCAGCTGCAAATGACTAATGTTTGTTGCACCTGTAAAAATTCCTTTTGATAATAAAAATAGCACCAACTCCATGAAGGATTTAATCCCTCTTGGATGACAAAGGATTGTAGAATAAAGAGCCATTTTTATAAGTCTTGACTGTGCATGCTGTTTTCAAATGCTCAAAAATTTAGGTTGTATTTATTCAATCCAACATCTGTGTACTTTAATCAAATATCAAGAGTGTGTGTCTTGTGCAAGCTGTGACACACCAAGCTGAGTACAGCCACACACAGTTGCCTTATCAGGGACTTGATGAGCCTCCTATCGCTGCCTAAGGTGAGACTGTGTGTAATGCAAGGCTGTTGGGCTGTTCTGTCTTGGCGGGTTGCAAGCTGTGCATGCCTGCTATATGTACTATTTTATTTTTATAGTTACACTAAAATATCACTAGAGAAGCCCCTTCCTTGGAAAATATCACATAGTTTTGCACCTCAATCTTAACAGCATTTAAAACTTAAGAATCCTGTTAAGTTTTCGGTAAAAATGTCCTTCCAAAGCCAGTTTCCTACAGATCATAACCTCAAACCTGCAAAACTAAGCTGCCAGGGAAAATAAGTGATGACATGGCTACTGACCGCCAGATGGCAGCAATGTGTTTTATGAATAATGCAGGATGGTAGTGCCATTCAACTTCATTATACATTAAAATTGCAAATTAATAATTACTTTTCAAATGTGAGGAATGTGGCGTGGTTTGTTTTGTTTTTTTAAGAAAAAGAGGAGACGCTAGATTCTTAAAGTGACATGGCTGGGTACCTGACATCTTTCTTTTATACTATGTAAGGGAATAAAATGTTGATTTTATCCTGCGACCCATTTAGTTGCTTGGGCCTTGCTGCTCTTTTGTGCTTCTGCCCTAACAGAATTACTACTTCATGTGTACATTAAACATTGTTAGGCTTAATTTTAGCAACACAGAAATGCCTCAAGCTCAAAAGAAATATTTTCCTTTCTGATGGACAAATAACATCTGCAGCTATGAAAGCTGCAGTGTAGCTGTCAAAGAAAAAGACAAGTCACATAATTTCTTACATGCAAATTCTCACACAAACACACTTGTACACAACTAGGCACCTTCAAGTTTGTAAATATATTTATACACCCAAACCCACCCACATACCCTATGTTTATATATGTCTAGCACCAGTGGATAAAAGGGGAGTTTTTCTATAGTCTATATCAATTTATACAATGGGAATAGGACAGGGATGTGAAACCTGTGGCTCTGCAGATGTTGTTGGTATCCAAACAGCATGAGCCTCAGCTGGAACAAACAATTATCAGGGATGAGGGAAGCTGTCATCAAACAACTTCTGGAGTGCCAGAAATTCCCTGTACCTGTAGGGTCTTTTGGGCTGTGGCATCCTCTTTGTGGAACACTCTCCTTCAAGAAATCCACAGGGCTGGTTGGTTTGA